GAAATACGTTCAAATAAATTCCTTTATTATCGAACATTCATTACAAATAGCGAGATACAAAATATTAAATGCTATATAAGCTATAATTGAGAGCAAACTAATCTCTCGATCGATCGCCAAGTAAGAGGGTGAACTACCCTTGATTGCCATCCTGATCGCACTGCTGCAAAGGCAGGCAAAGAGGTCGAGAAGCACTCTTAGCAAGCAAAAGGGAAGAAAAGCACCCTCACATCGCCTGCCTAATCGTATTGCTGCAATAACGAGTAAGGAGACTGAGAAGCACTCTCAGCAAGCAAGGTGGCTTGACAGGCATTCTCAAAAATTGCCTTCCATCATTGAACTCCTAGTAAAGAATATAGAGACGATGGGAAGAACTTCGCTGGCCAAAGAATATTTCCTATATCTCCCATACCAAAGGTAATATCAAAACAGATAGCCAGATGGGCGGATCAAATGATCCATTTCTATGGAAGACGAAAATTTTGGATCGATTGTTGAAATGCCAAACGATGGCAGCAAATTAGTTTTTTGAAGAAAAGTGGAAATGAAAATGAAAAGTACGAAATATATGTGCATTTATAGGGGCGTGAAGGTGAAGAGATAGAATATGAACGACCACACTCGTGCCTAGTAATTGGAGTTAAGTGGCCCAAAGTCTTGGGAAAAGAGACAGAAATACCAAGAGAAAATGTACATGAATCTTAGCATAAAGCAGTTAAATGCTTGGGGGTTGACGATTAAGGACAATGTCAATTAGCACGCAAGTAGTCAAAATAGTCGTTCATTAATAACAATGGCTGTTGTTACATTCAAATTTAGCAATGGCAGTTAATACGAAGTTACAAAAGGAAAATTTAAGGCATTAGATGTCTTAATTACAATTCACCCCAGGCCAATCGAATTATTTCCCTAAGTCTCTCCCAATCCTCGCTTTGCTGAGAAGAAGTGACATTTAATTCAGCTACAAAATCGTCATCAACCTCCAGCTTTTTGTATTGCTCGACCAAAGATTTGGTTCGCCCAATTCCTTGGGAAGCATTACGCTTTTTGGCAGCCATTCTCGCCTTACAGTCGTCCATCCTTGCTTGAAACTCCTTTATCTCTGCAACCAAACTGGTCATCAAGGAGTCTTCAACAATGACTTCAGGAGAGATTTCTTTCAATACGTTCTCGGCTTTGTTAATCTCTAGAAGTAAAGACTTTCTTTCAGATGCAGCGTGAATATATTACGTACTCCTGACCTTCAGTTCAACATTTTTGGCCAGCAAGGAGAGGATGTCAGAGTGGACAACCTTCAACGTCGCTTTAAAATCAGCAGAAATATTGAGCGACGAAAGTGTCAGTGCTTGCGCCAACTTCGCACTCAACAGCTCAAGCTTATCTCTATGTTTAGCAGCGCTAGTCTGACCGATGTTCATATCCATAAAAGACACATACTCAAATATTGACTGCTTGAGAAACTTCATATCTTCCTCTGAAGAAGTAGAAGGACGATCGGTTAAAGTAGGGCGAGACGTCTTGACTTGCCCCAAGGAAGTGAACAAGTCCTGGATGGAATGCACAATGTCATCAGCGTCCTGCAAAGAAAAATGCCAACATTAAGGGCTTTCACTACAATAAACGAAGCGAAAATGAAAGTAAAGCGAAAGGTTACCTCATCAGCAATTTTGGGTAGTGGTATATCACTAGTTGGCTCCACCACCTGTGGAGACTTCCCCTTATCTGGGCGAGAAGACTCTACCACAACGGGCAGACCCATGGGAGCCTCTGCAAAATTCAAAAAGCAACAAATTAGAAACCAATAGCACAAGTAAAGGTAAAACACCAAAAAAAAATGTATTACTTTCTGGTTCGATGTTTGGGGGGTCAGCGCCCTGGGAAGAAGGTGGCTCTTCCATTGGTTGTGATGAAGGTTCAGGGACTGAAGGTTTCTCTTTAAGCATAGTCCCTTCATTAGCTGATTTGGACGAAGCAGCTTCAGCAGAGGATGATGGAGCAGGAGCTGCTAATACCTAAGCCCTCAAAGGAGAGGCTGAATTTTTCTGAGAAATTCAAGTAAACCATTAGCACATGGAAAGGTTTCAAGTAAACCATTAGCACATAGAAAGGTATGTTTGTGAATAAACAGAATTTAATTACCTTTCTCCTAACGATGAGAGGAGTGTCATCATCATCATTATCATCATCCTCCAAAACGGGAGATCTGAAACTGGCCGTTTGCGGCTTAAGGCACTCTTAGCTGCAGTAGCCTTGACAGGTAGAGAAGTAGATGGACGAATAAATTGTTTAGCACGAGCAGGGGATGAAGGATTCCTAGTGGACACAGGGGTGACCAAAATAGGAGAAGTGAAAGAAGTGTTTGGCTGATCCAGTGAATGGAAAGCACGATTGGCATCAGTTGCAAATAATCTGCGCTTCACTGATGGCTAGAGTTGTTCAAAAAGGGAATGGATAACACGACTAGAATTGAATGGGGCTAATGAAAACTTGCTCGTCAAAAGAAGGTTGCGAGCATCTATGGCTCGTGCCTCTGGCCTATTAATGGTGTGAAAGCAGTCTGTCAAATTTTTAGAGTAACAAGGAGGAACATGCCAAGTTTGGCCAAAACCAAGTTGGCGAGCAAAAAATTGGGGAGCATATATTTCAACCCCAGCTTTGGCATTGGTTCCAGTTAAAATGTCATGGAACAACTCCCTCCCAGTCAAAAACTGAACTCAAACGAGCAGAGAGGCGCTCGCACTGTCCAAGGTGGATGGAATTTGCACATAATCTGGAGTCAAATGAGCAGGAAAAGGAAAGAAAAAAGGAATCGAATTTAAGGAATAAAAGAATGAAAAAATGTCCATATTGGACATATGTACAGGGGTCAGTGGATCAATGGCTAGTCCATAGCAGCTAGTAGAACGACTGAAAATGGATGGAGCACCAAGTGGTGGAAAATATGCTCTCAATCACAGTTGAGTGAACCAAAGAGGCCCACTGCCAATGGGAGATGCACCATTCTTCAATTGAAATTGAAGAGAAGCCATGCCTCTATAAAGGGCAGCAAAAAAGAAGGAACACAAATTCAAAGGCCTACCACGCGTTAATTCATGCGCTATGGGTAAGTAGCTCATGGAAGGTTTCATACTTGGCACGCAAAGAATATATTTACAAAACCAAATCTGAAGGAAGGCCACATGCTCAGCATGGGAAGGTTCAGCGTTTGAGTGATTATAAGAGGTTTGCAGGCTTGAGTAGGACTCAGTGAGTTTCTTGTCAAATTTCGGGGCGACACCGGAAATTAAAATACCAGGGAAAATGGTATCGTCCAAAAGTAGAAAATTTACTAGGGCCCCAACATCCCTTAAAGTAATAGACATGGGACCAAGAGGGAAAACAAATGTATTATATTCAGAAGACCAAAAACTTAAAGTAATAGGAAAAAGCACTGGCTCAAAAATTGGGGGTTGAAGAGCGATTTCTAATAAATCAGAAATCCTAGTACGATAAAAAATTGCCTTGGTAGGACCATGGCCCACAAGGCGAGCATGCTATTTGCTGAAAATAACATCAGATTTAGGCCAAGTGCGAATACCTTTTTCGCGAATTGGCCTCAGCGGCAAAGAGTCCAGGAATGGAGGGCCTTGAGTGCAAGGAAATATCTGGCTCACCGCCACTTGTTCGACGACTTCGGCGTTGTTGAATAATGGACACAGATAGAACTCATTGAGTTCGGCATTGGCTGGTACAAGGAAATTCGGATTTACATATGGCCGAGTAAGGATTTTCTGGAAATCTTCGAAGCTAAAAGAGTCATCAGATTGGGTTTGTGGAGCCGCCATTGGGAACGAAATACAGTTTTGTTAAAGTTTGCTTGAGAAATGTAGCAGGGAAACAAGAAGATGAACAGTAATATTGCGAGAAAGAAGCGCGAAATAATGAGGCGTGATTTAGTAGTTCGATGAAATGGCGTGTCTTTGGGGTTTATAAGGGTTTGCAACGTCGCACCTTTTCAAACTATGGAAGGAAATAATGATTGAAATTCTTGGGAATTTCAAATGTTGCGGGAAAACACAAAATAAATATGGCAAAAATTAATAATTAGTATTAATTCTGCCATATTGGAGGGTAATTGTTGACACACTAAAAGTGCAGCCCAAATCAAATAGCCCAATGAATGAAGCCCAATTGAGGAATTCCCAAATCAAATAGCCCAAGGAATGAAGCCCAATTGAGGAATTCATGATAAAGGCCCAGATACAGTTATTAATGAATGCAGTGGAAGCCTACGAACACAGTAACATCATCGCCCAAACTTACAAGACGCCCAAAATCTGAGCGAATGGAGTGCCTTACAGTCGCCCAGAGTGATGACCCTGTTCTATCCCATACTTTCGAATCGCCCAAGATCTTAACAAACATAAAATGTTACGGTTATCCAGAAATGTAGTTATTGAAGCAGTTATTGAGTAACCTTATTACATTCTACGATTCAAGGAACCCAGTTGAAGGCGGTTGAACGGCAAAGAGTAGTGGCAGTAGTTAGAGATGGCAATTCCACGACAAGTTAGCCACCATAAAGAAAGTGGGTAGTTATAGAGCAATCAAACAATTTTCAAGTGGTTTGTCACGAAAAAATCATCAAGGGAATATCAAAGGAAGAGAAGACATAAAGAAAAAGGACCCCGAATCAAACACTCTCAAACAGAGAATATGTAATTTCAATTTTTTAGTTTAAACTTAAACATTTTTTTCAGTACCGTGTGCTTGCGCCCCTTGAAGGCATTCTGTTTAATTTTAATTGTAAATCATCGTCAATAAAATACCCCCTTTTGGGACTTTGTCTCAAGAGGTTTATTCCTTACACAATCGTTTGATCCCTTTTTAATTGTTAGCGATTATTCACGCGAAACAGCTGCCGACACTAAAAAAAAAAAAGCTTAAAATCTTGATTAAAATTGCTGCCATGTAGGCGAATAGAAAGTAAGAATAAAGATAATCAACTCGCTTGCTTCTTTTGCTACTATTGAGTTTTTGCAAATATTTCTCCCAACTCTCCCGCCCAAAATTAACCAAAATAGAAAACAAACCTTCCAATTCTCCGCAAAAATCAAACAAATGCTACGATGTCTAGGGCCACCGCCACCACCGCGCCGTCAAAACCCAGCTCCGCCACCGCCAACAACCACCCTCCACAGCCGCAATCGTCGCCGATGACGGATGTAGAATTAGTTCAGCTAGCTCAACTGCACCATCGCCCTATCTCCTCCCAACCTACACCCGTCCACCTCCCGCCATTTCTTCTCTCCGAGTCCTCCCACCCCACCCTCCTCTCCTACCTCGATTCACGTGCCGCCTCTGTTAATTCGTCTTCTGCCGTGGCCGAATATATTTCAGCCCTCTTTTCTCTGACCTCCCACCACCCCTCCGTACTTTCGGCCCTACTTCCCTCCCTCCTCCTATCTTACCTTCCCCTCTTCACTTCCCGCAAAATCCCTCACGATCACCACTCGCTCTCCACTCTCCAGCTCTTCGCCGTACACCTTGATGCAATTGAAATTACGAAAATTCCCGAAACTATTAATTTAATCATCATGTATCTTCATGATGTCAAGGATTTTGAAGATGCCCATGTCCTAGTTCTCCTCCCAAAGTGTCTTGAATTAGTCAGAATCTCTAATGAAATCGAGAAGCCCATTGAGTACATAAATTCGGTGATTGATGGTTTGCTTAACTGTGAGTGGAGCAAGGTTGTGTTGGTGAAATTGGTGGAAATAATCCGTGATGTTTCATGTATTGATAAAGGGATAAAAAGGGATTTTCTGGAAAAAGTTTTTAATGGAATGCAAAACAACATCGAAATGCAGGATTTGCCGGGGCTGGTTTACCAATTATTGGTGTTGGCCTCAAAAGGTTTTAATAAAAGGGACGTGATTGAGGGGATTGTTTCTTTTTTTGGTGGTAAAATCAAGGGTGGTTCAATCATGAGGCAAGTGGAGGGGACTGTTTTGCTGCATGTAAATTTTGCGGTAAAGCAGGATCCGTCGTTGGGACAGGAGGTTTTGGGGCTGGTGAGGTCGGATTCTCGGGCTTTGAATCATTTTACTGTTGCCCTTTTGCTGTCGGTGGCTAGAATTAGGAGGTTCAGCGAGAGTGCTATTGGAGTTCTCAGAACTGCATTGTTTAATGCTTATAAAGATTACAACTTCGCAAAGTAAGCAGTATGTGATTATAGTGTTTAATTAATATGCCATTGTCTTGTTTTATTTTACATTTATATTTTGTGTTTTTGATCAGCCTCCTCTTGCTTGATTTATTCTGTTGATTTTTGTGCTTCTACCAGTTACAAGAAAGATTATGATTGCATATTTTGTACGTAGAGAAAGAGACTTGTGCTGTTGATTTTGCACGTGGCACAAATTTTGGGGAAGAAATGACTGCATACTTATTCTGTTGATTTTATCCATGGCATAAGCCTTATTTACATTATGAGAAGAGTATGATCGTATCATGATTATTCGTCTGGCCTATATGAGTTTGATCACATACGTTATGAAATATGCAATGATTTCAATTTACAAGCCAATATCTGGTTTACTCGTATCATCACACGTGATTAAATGTGTTCAAGACATTTTCATTTTTTGGACATTTGAAATAGCAATGTGAAGGCATTGTGAAATTTATGTTGTAGACATTTACCATTTTAGTAGCCATGGGTGATCCATGTCAGCTATTATTTTCTTCATGCAATTGTCTAATATTTATTACCCCAGCTGCATATTAATGGGACCATGGTTTTCTTGTTTCTTTTATTAATTTCATTCCAAATCCTGTATGATTTGATTATCAATCCATCCTTTTGTTTCAGAGTCTGTAAATGGCTATCAGATGAACTAAAGGAAGAATATCTGCAGAATGCCAGAGTTATAGAGAAGGCTGTGCTTAAAGCTGTAAGCTTACCTTCCTTTTGTACTGCACTGGCTGCTGTGTTGGTATTGATATTCCCTTCATATGTAAATCTACCCTGTAAATAAAAAATATATGATGTCATACTTACAATTGTTTGAGAATGTCGATCAACAAATATGTAATGTAAATGCACAATTTCTTTGGTCCTCATTGTTTGGAACTTCATATAAAACTCTTGCTTCAATCTGGATGTCATGAATTCACACTTGGTGTGAACAAAAAGTATGATTATATGATTTCAAGGGATTATGAACCAAATAGATGGTGAATGATGAACTTAGGCAGTGTATGGCATTAGGTGATTGTCCACTTTTGTCTGATAAATTGAGTAAAGCACAGCAATATGTGTTAATACATTTATTTTATCTGACTAGATCATATCTCTTTTTTCTGTCTTCTCTCTGTCCTTGTTTTGTAGGTTAATGAGAGCCATTATGGAAGAGAGCACATTGTACCGAGCATTGTCCAATTTGGATTCGGATTACTTGAAGGAGTAGAAGAAGGAAACCAAAAAAAATTGTCCAAGTCTGATGGTCTGATGGGTTCTGAGGAGCTAGCTACTCAGGTGCTGAAAAGTTTATTTGAAGTGCATGACATGGCAAGAAATGAGGTCAGTAATTCAGTATAGGATGCCTGCTTAATATAAAATATGTCAACACTTTTTCCCTTCCATGTGGGAAGTAGCATTGAAGGGTAAAGAGAGCTTTCCTGAAAGAAATATCTTTAGGATACAAGTGCTTGAAGAAATTATTGCCTAATTATTTTTTCGACGAACAGATGCTTTTCACCTGTTTTTCAGTATATTAATTCATAGAATACATATACAGTCCGATATGTCTATATTTTATGCAGATAATTGAGCAATGCAAATTTCGGATTCTTTCTTTAAAGCCTGAACGAGGCCATCCCGTCATAAGGTAACCATTACTAGTTACCATTATCGACGTCTTTTAGTTTGCATTATGTACTATTGATCTTTTTTTTTGGCAACTAGACTGCTCGGATATCTCGCTCTGATTCACCCACACCCAGTGTTAGATCATGTTTCACACTTGAAGGAAATGCTGGATTATTTTACATTCATGCACGGCAAAATTTCCTCTCATCTTGTCACTGTTTTACTACCTCTCATCAAGATCAATCGTATTCTTCAGGTACTCAATGCTGAAATTCATTATTCAGCCTAATAAATTCTCTAGTGCCAAGTTATATGCAAGAAGAAATCTTTAATACTTCTAAGTTGAGTTAACTTTACTTATTCTCTCGTCTTCTTATTTTTCAAAATGCAGGACTATACCATCTTGGTGTTGCGTAAGGCTATGTTTAGGCGAGAAAGTTCAGTGCGTCTTGCTGCTACTGGAGCTATTATTGATCTGATATTAGCATGTAAGCAATCAAAAGGAGATAGACTGTTTTCTTTTCAAGAATCAAGCAGTCAGGCAAGTTGCAGCCAGCCAGCTGAAATACACCATGCAACTGGAGCAGGGCTTTTTGAAGAGCTCAGTGGTTTGCTACAAAGATGTCTTTATCAGCAGGTGCCTTCCAAATGTTTCATTACCTTTTGTTCTCTTTGTCATATGATTACGGTACACTGAGATCGAATCTCTATTTCTAATTTACTGCACTACATATTAAGCCTCCATTGTCAACGTCCATGATTTAAAGTATCTTAAGTGAGAAGATACCTCATAAAATTTAAATATCTTTGCTGGTTAAGAAAACTTTTTGATTCACATATCATCATGATGAATACAATAGTAAATGTAATGGCTCAATGATTTTTTATTCAGGATGGAAAGATTATTAAAAAGATTATGCCCCTTTCCTTTTTAATTCAACTTATGTTTCCAGGCAAGCGTGAGGGAGGTCCTATATCATGGCTTAGTGAAGCTTGTTCTGGTGGATCACTTATTTGTTGAGGCTGTTTTCGATTTTCTCTTGCCTCACTTCCTACGATTTTACAGAGAGGTATTTTGCAAGGCTAGTGCAACTAATGTTGGCTCTCTACAATACTGCAGAAGAATATTTTATTAATTTTCTGCCTTTCTCTCATCTTATCTGATTGTTTAGTTGTTATAATTTTACACGTTCTCACGACACTCCACACTAAAATATTGTACTCCAGGATGCAGATGTACCATTGGCAATTGACCTATGTACTAAACTTGACTCGGGTGGAGTTTGTATCGAAGAGCCACTGGACTGCCTTATGTTTTGCATCTCTTTGATTCTTTTTCTTCAACCACATTGTAGATCTGATACTCTTCCAGATTCAGGGGCTTGTTTTGGCTTCTCTATCACACAAGAGAATGAGGTATCTCAATTTCATGATAAAAAGATCCAATTAATGTGAAATAACTTCAGTCTTTATTATCTTGACAATGACATCAAACTGATCAGGCTGGAAAAGTGTTGTCTGGAGAGTCATTCTCCAACGCATTAGTGAAGATCCGGAAGTTCCTAAGAAATGAGAATTTAGAAGGTGCACAATGTTTTTTTTATCTAACTTCTCCTTAAATTTAGATCAAGTTTTTTGGTTGTTAACATTGCTCTTCACTTAATTTTTCTTTTCAGTACTTTGTCTGGAGTCTATGTACTATAAGCCATAGGTTATTTCTTTTTGATTCTTATCCTGTGAGACATACATTACAGCATAATAATTGAAACTGGACCTTATTTCTCTACTGGACCTCTTCTTTAAATGATCAGAATTCCTGTTACTTACGTGGTTGTATTATTTGCATGTTTGTTCAGGCCTTTTGTGTAAAAGTCAAAATTCAGGCTCTACACCCATAGAAGATGAAAAACTGAGATGCCGTGCTATCCTTTTGTTGGGGATTGTTGAGGTAATGTTGAACATCATTGTTACTGAATTGGAGAAAGCAACAGAGGTGAACAAAATGGAACTGGAAAGCGAACTTTCAATATTAGTTGGCTTTTATGAGTCCTTGGAAAAGCATACATCTATTTCTCGACCAAGCAATGGTATCAGAAGAGGGACAGTACGACCTACTGCTAGTGATGCTGCCGATAGACTTGCTTCAGGCAGCACCAAGCCCTCTTCAGAAAGGACCCCTCTTCTGGCAATTCCAAGCATCTGTCAGCTATTGAAAATGGCATTAGAGTCATTGACACGTGATTCCTCTAGAACTGGAGCAGCTTCCCAGAATCAAATGCAGTTGTCCACGGGCGAGGCATCAGCTCCAAATTCTGAACTTCTTTCTTCAGTTCTAAACATTTGCTTTCGCCAGTTAAAACTTTTTTCTTTTCCGGATAAAGACGATCCTTGGAAGACATTGATTTATGGCGATATTAAGCTGTTGGGGTCTCCACTGCTGAAAATAATTTGGTGTCTCAAGTCTGATACAGATAAAAAGAAAAAAGAAGCCGAGGGAAGGAAAGATATTGAAGATAGAAGGGAACTTATTCATTTGGGATTGCTTTGCTTGAAGAAATTGATTGAGATAAGTTTGTATAGCTTAAAATATGTGGGCTTAATTGATGATTTGGTATCGTCTCCTGGACTTGAGCAAGAATCTATTCATTCTATGGAATTCCACTGCATTGATGGCTGTAAATTAGCAGAAGGCATTGATGATCAGAACACAAGAATCAAAGAATTATTCATTAAGATGAATATTAAACCACTGCTTACTAAGTTTCTTGCTTTTTCTTTCTTCCACGAAGCTCAGGTGAACTCATCTTGACCTCAACATTGTTTTATTTGTTTTGTCTTTGTATAATACTTATGATGAAAATTATCACTTTCGCTAAATGTAATTATGCTACCATTAGGTGGTGACTGGAAATGAGCCAAGAAAGCTTGAGAACCTTTTTTTAGTTGAGTTAGATCTTCATCGATCTTAAACTAGCTTTGTGAGCTCTCGTAAGCTACTTTCAAATAGCCTATAATGACACACATGAATTGAATAAATGATTAATTTAAAGCTAAATCATTTTGAAAAATGCAGTTTGTTCATCATATATATTTATTTATATATGCTAGGATAACTAAAAATATAGTTGAAATTCTTTGTTCTGGCGCCTGCATCATGCATGTGATAATCTTGTTGAACTTTATTTTCCCCCTTATTCTCAATCTGTTCGTGAATCCTTAATCTGGATTTCTAAAATTTGCTTGAATGTTAGATGTTCACTCTGAGATACCTAGTGCAGAACTGATAGGAATAGATGAGAGAACTGATGAATTTTATAACTGAAAGTAATACAGAAAATGAGAGATGCACTACACGGATGACCGCTCTTTTCTCACTACATGTATTCTACCCATCCCCCCCCCCCCCCCCCCCCCCTT